GCTTCTTGTTAGATTTTTGCTTAAATTGAGGGCGCGCTCTATGGAACATGAACCATGGAGAGCACAGAGAGTATATTAACCATAGAGTGAGAAATGGAAGAACAGAGTAGGGCAGAGAAAGAGAGCGAGCGTAGGTGGGAGAAGAGGAGAGGAAGAGAAGAGAGACGTAAGTGGGCAGGGGTCTGTCTTTTAAAGGGGTCCTCTACACCTGCGTGCAGACTTAGTTCCCATGGAACCCTGGGCTGACCGGGGCACTGCCTGAGTGCATTCTGCCAGGTAACAGGGGCGGGCCAGCATAATGCCTGAACCTTCTACTTCTTAAGAAGGAAGCCTGAGCGATGAGTGGGTACGGAGGTGGGGGGGGGTATCGACAGTGGGCAACGGCACCCCAAGGGAAGGAGTCACGCAGGCATTGAGAAGCCTGGGCTCATTCTGCTAGGGTAAGGAAGACAGAAACCTCCTGGCATGTCTCCATTCCCACCGCTCAGAGGACGCTGGACACATGTAGAGCTGACTGCAGAGCCATGGACAAGTCTGCACCTCTGGGCCTTGTCATGTCACCCTCCCACGTGATCTGAGGGCCCGTCAGGGGGTAGCTACTTCGCGGTGGGTTGAGAGAAGTGTACCGAGGTCACCTCGAGCGTCTAGTCCCAGGCACTCAGTGCCTCCATCGAGATCCCAGAAGCCTCTGAACCCTCATCCACAGCAGGCAGAGGAGTTGGATCCTGCACGATCTGACGCGCTGAGTGGCCCTGACTCACTTGGTGGGGCCTGGCTTACCGGGTGGCATTCTCCAGGGCCCGGGAGAAGGAGGCATAGTCGTCTGTGGAGTGCTCCAGGGAGTAATACCACACGGCGGCCGCGAGGATGCGGGCGTCTGAGTCCTCGCCACCTAGTGAGTTCTGCAGTGCCTGGTAAAAGGCTGTCTTGCTGTTGGTCCGGCCTTGGCGCTCCTCAAATTGCTTTGAAAAGAGGGAGGGGAGAAGGGAAGAGAAAGATACAGGATTTCCCAATCCTATCCTGAAAGGCACACACACTGAGTCCTTGAAACAGCGTTCTGGAATTTTTCTCTCCGAGAAGCATCTTTAAAACACAGCGTTAAGCACTTGCAGCTGTTTCACCTCCACCTGCTTTCCACTGTGTGACCTTCAGCAAGTGGCTCCGCCTCTCTGTGCCTTCCTTTGCCCATCTGAAAACAGGAGTGGCCTCCCCCAGGGTTAGGAGTGGGACACGAAGCAAATCCCACTTAGTGTGGACCGTCTTAGTCCTGATTGCTGTCTGATACCGGGCCACGTGCCCGCCTCTTTCTGGTTTTACCTGGCTGGGTTTAGCAGACTTGTGCGGAGCTGGGATCTGATATGAGACGTTTCATCCCATCCCACGCACGGCGCTAGTCATTCAAAGCATGAAGAAGATAGTGTTGTCATAAGAATACATGGGATCATAAGGTCACACTCCCTGTCTACTAGGCAATGCTCCCGTGGGTGGAGACAAGGACATGTGATAGATGCACAGAGCCTCACAGGGCAGCCTTAGCAAGGGCAAGGGTACGGGATGAGGCTGGGGCCAGCCCTGCTTCAGGAAAGACAGTCAAAGGAGCTGCACTGCTGACCTGAGGGGCTGCTTGGCTGCCCCGGCCCAGCCACCCCCCCTCCCTTCAGGCAGGTTCAGGAAGCATAGATGTCTACGTGTTTCCAGGAGCGTCTGGATGCCATCTTGGCAGGCCCTGGCATGTTTATGCTACTCTGTAAACCTCTCTAGATACAGGGACTGATCCAGCATCTGGACACTGGAGCCGTATATTGGTGAGCTAACAGGCATGTTTCCGCCTGTGGGACAGGAGCCTGGCCTACCCACCTGAGGCATGCCAGATCAAAGACATGCCCCAGTCGCATAACACTAGCCTCAGGAGTCAGTGAGGAGGACCATGGGGGCTAGCATACAAAAGGGCCATGTTTCTTTAATCTTAAAATGCGTTTTAGAAAGAAATCTGCATTGCATCACTATCCGCTAGGCACGGCTTGTGAGTTTCCGAACATCTCTGGCACGCACAGCCTCCAAAAGCCACTGGGCACGACCAAGGTCACAATGAGAAGAGGTTTGTATAAGAGCACACAAATACACCCCAGCCTCATCCACATATCCGAGTTCTCTCACAGACCCCCTCAGAAAAACCTCCCCACAAATATCGGGCACCCACTTTGCTCTTACCATTGGTATCTGGGGTTAGCATTCATTTACTCTGAGCTAATAATATCGGTTCCCACCCACCCACCTGTCGTCTATCGTACCGATTTCACAGGTTTCCAAAGGTCTGGGGGAAACTGAATTGGATGATTCTCACCTGTTCTGATTGCCTAGAATTGCGCATAACAAAATGGCTACTAAAACCGTCATTGACCCCCCTGTCACTTACAGCTTGGTGTTAAGCATTTCCCAAGTGCTTCACCAAAGTGTTCCAGAAGCCCCAGTGCTGGGTGTGGCCTCACCCCATTTCAGAAATTACAATCCCAGACCAGGGGAGTCTGTACCTCCTTGGGGCCATCATACAGAAGGCCAGGATGGGCTGGTATTTAGCTCAGGCCTTATGATGGGGGCAGCCAGTCCTTCCTCTGCTCTAACTTAACCATGAGCCAGAGTTGCACTGCAAACACAGGGCCACATAACACAGAAGGAGGTTGACCCATGGATGCATGGCCCAGAGTGATGACAAGAACACTGACTTGGGAATCGATGCAGTGAGGGCCCGAGTCTCCAGCTGCCTTTGAGAGGTCTTGGAAGAATTGTTTCTCCTCTTCCGATCCCGACATCTTTAAACTGCAGAGGATGGTGTGGCCCAGCTCTGGGTTGCTTCTGGGAGGTTTAGGGTACCTAGGCAGTCAGCCCCTGTAGTATCCCATGGCAAAGGTATGTCTGTTTGAGCTGTAGGTTAAAGCAGTTAAGAGGCTCCAGAAGAAGGACCTTTGTGGAGCCAGCAGCCCACGATTGGTTCCCAAGTGTCTCATTCTCTGGTGCTGCGGCTTTGGCTTGTCCTGTAACCTCTCCAGTCCTCAGGTTCCTCGTGTGCAGACTGGAGTTAACTAAAGTCTAGGCTACGGTGTTGTCTTTTGAGTTTGGAACGGCAGTCTGGATCACCCTGTTCAAACTCTGGCACAGGCCACTTAATAAAAGAGGCAAACTTGTATTAGCTGTCAGTTTCACTAGCTCCAACGAGAAAACTAGAGTAGAGGGCTGAAAGGCCCTAAACCACTTGACTACAGGATGGAGAAAGCCCTGTGTGTCTGACTTCACACACGGCTCCCCTCTTGCTTTTATTCTTATGTTCATTTCTTTAGGTGGATACCATGAATCTTCAAAGGGCTGTGAAAGTATTGATGGCTGCACTACTGTAGGTGTAAAATCCCCTGGCCTGTTGGCCCAGCTCCCAGCCCTTAGCAAAGGTGCTGAAGAGCAGGGGGTGAGTAGGACCCCCTTTGGCATTTCCTGTCTCTAGATGCACGCAATGCCCCTGCACTGATAGAGAAAAGGTGGCATGGAGAAGGCCCAGTTCTGGGATCCTGGGGATTTACAGCCACAGTGGGATTCCTGGACACTTGGAAGGAAGTTTGCCTCCACTTCCTAACACGGATGGGGGAGCCCCAGAGATGTCCAATTGCCAGGACCGTTGTGTTCCACCAGCCATGCTGGGGAACACTGTGCACACTGAAGGAGCTCTACAGCTCCTTCAGTGCGTGTCTACAGCACCACAGTCTGCTCTCTACCTTCCCCGTCAACCAACCCTCACCAAGGTCTTGATGGCCAAGAGAATGCTCATGTTTTTGTTTTGAAAGGGGTGTGTCAATGCCATCATTTACTGCTTACACACACACACACACACACACACACACACACACACACACACACGGATCTCACACCACGACTCTCCTCATCTCACGTCTTCCTCTGCTCCCTCAACTGCTCTTCAGGCTCCCAGGGCATAATCTTCCTGGGTCTGGAAGACAGGCCACCCCATTCTGGCTTCTGTATCTCCACCTACCCTCAGATACCCGTGCTTCTTGGTAGACCTTCTCCCTTGCAGGCCTCAACCCAAAAGACACCATTGGTAGGCTGTTCCTGTCTATCCCTAAAGTATACCCCCCCATCCCCATTTCTGCTATTCCCTTTGCAGCCTCCCTGGTTCTGTTTTCTCCAAACATGAATGAATGAATATATATATATATATATACATATATATATATATATATATATATCTTCTATCAGTCGGATGTGGCGGCATCAGTGCCAAGTGTCTATCGCATGTTTAGAGACCCACAAAACATTCTCCTCTTCGCTCCTTTAGAATTTGTAAGAGGCAATATGATGACAATTCTGTGGTGATAGTACAATAGCAGTTCTGGCTTGCTTGGCACTCACTCATCTTTATATTAATAGTCATAAAATAGCGTCTATTTGGGGGTTGAGTCCGCATGTCTCCCCTTTAGCGACAGCCTCCAAAGCATGAGGTGAGGAGACGGAGACGTGGGGTGTCGGGCTCTGAGGATCTGGGTCTCAGTGGGGATGGAAGGGTCACAGATTGTTAGGTAGGGCATCCCGGAGCCCCACAGAGTCCCTATCTTGTGAGAGCTGTCTCCATTCTTAGATGTGCTGAAGGCAGGCAGGGCTCACTTCGCTACTTGGAAGCTACAGTATCCACAGCTCCGACTGGCTAACACCATGTGGTAAAAATCAGGAATCGTGACCTACTATCCTAATTTACATCCCGTGTCTCCCTAGGTCCAGACCTAGCATGAGGATTCGGGGTGGTGGCACCTCTTTCCAAGAAGTCTCTCTCTCTCTCACGTACATACACGGAGGATTCCTGCATCCGTCTATTACTGTGAGCTGCCACCAAGGATTTGATAGTGCTGCACTGGGGCTCATGCCAGAGACTTGGCTGCCAGGTGCAGCTTTCCAACTCTCAGACAGGCCCCCCCCCCTTCGCAGGCCCCCACTGCACCTGCTCCTGAATGAGGCCAACTCCCAGCCAAGCCCAGGGCACGCCGGCTACACTCAGCTTTGGATTTTTCTTGCCTTCCTTGGAGATGCTTGGAGGGGAAGCAGAACCGCGTGTCTTGGAACCAGTCTGCTTTTGCTAATGCAAATGTAATCTTGGTTAATGCAGACAGACTGTCAACTTCAGCAGTCAGGAGGAGGAGGAAGGGAGATGATTCCCCATTTCAGAGACCAGTGAAGAATTTCAATAGAACGCTTCCACTTTGGGGATAAGATCATCTGGAGCAAACGGAGGCGTTCCACCTTCCCAGGCATCTATGTGGCCCCCATGCTTGGCAGGTATGTCTCTGGGTGTCATGAGGACTCCCTGGGTGGACCATAGTGGCCTGGGTGGCAGGGGTGAGAGTCTTTGGGATTTGATGAAGCCCTACCCACTCACCCTCTTTGGTATGAGGGTATTTGGTAGTCTCTGCTATCTGGGTGGCTGGTCCTAAGGGCTGAAAGAAGGCTAGGAGGTCCCTACCCCTCCCTGAACTGTGTGTGTTTGTGGGCTGGGCTCCAGCTGGCATTTCTGTAGGCTGCTATGAGGAGAAAGTGTGTGTGTGTGTGTGTGTGTGTGTGTGTGTGTGCCTGTTTTAGCATGTACGTGTACTTCTGATGTGATTAAAAAAAAACTCACCTGAGGTCAGATGGTTCAGTGACTATAATCCTTTGTATTTCTTCTTGGGACCAGTGCCATTAACTGTTTTATTAAAGAGTGAATCACAAAACTATCTATCATGTATTCAGATGCAACTATTTTCTGGACAGTTGGGTATGTCTGAGTCCTCTGGGGATATTCCAAAGGGTCTTTATGAGTAATCTCCCAATTTACAGATAGGGAGACTAAGTCTCAGGTTCTGGGGAAATGTAATAAGTGCTCCTGACTACAGACAAAACACATCCAGGACTTCCCCCTGTTGTGCTGACAGAAGGCTAAGGGAGGGGGTCTGGTCAGACTTTGCTCATTTGCCACTCAGCTGGCAGTCTCACTACGGGCAACGGACCCCACCCTACCTCTCGTGTTCAGGGACATGATACCCACCTCTCTACGCAGCATGAATACAGTCATTCCCAGATGGTTGCCGTGTTGATTCTCTATGTTCTGACCTGACCATTACCTCTTAGAGGGCGGGATACAGTTGGAAGATACGTGTAAACCGGCCCTGCCTCTGGCACACTGTGAGAGATTGGTTCACTTTGAGTGGCACAGCAAACAGATGCTGCTTCTAGATACCCATGCTGTGCACCCTGCTCGACTAGATGTCGTGATTGCCTGGGTGTAGTAGGGTCTCAGAAGTGACCCCAGATGAAAGGAGGCCCATGAAGCCTGGAGACGTTCTAGGAGAGGGGACAGCATATGTCACATACCTGAGCACAGCTAAGGATCACCAAAGACATGGAACTGCTCTGGCCATGCAAGGTGACCGGGGAGGGCATAGTGAGGAGTAAATTTAGATCCCATCAAACAAGTTTCCAGGGCCACTG